CCCCCCACGCCTTTCTCTTTTTTTTCGCCTTCTCTCGTAGTCAATTAAATTGTAAAGCACCAGACGACCCTTTCAGAATAAACTCTCACGGATTACATGGGGTACAATGGACCATTTTGTGTCTTCGGGGGTTTATGTTTCATGCAGTAACACCCGTCGCTGGCAGTCATTATTGAGAAGTTGGGGGACGTGCTCGGCACTTTCGAGAGTATTTATTCACGTAATAAAGGGTTTACGACAGTTAGATAAATTAGGTACACGCGCTTACGTCCGTATTCTTTGATAATGTACTTGGCGCATGTTCTACCGCGACTCCCGAAACCAAAAGATGTTTATAAAATTTTCTCAAGACTCAGTGCGGCAAAATGGGCGACTTTTTTTTTAATTTAATGGAGAATTTTCTGGGGAATCCAATGACGTCGATTAAAATCCCATATCACTTTTTCCGCCTGACTTATCGTGAAAAAATGAAGGTAATAAACGCCGCTCTGTAATTGCAGAGGATGAAAAATGATAAGAATTCATTAAACTGTTTAATCACCGTCTAATTGATACCCGGCATCAGTTATCAGTGCCTCAGGTAACGATAAGAAATTGATATTACCGGTCTCGTCGATTATCCCCAACTACCGGTGGGGTAATAAAAAAAAATAAGGAAATTAGTAATTGGTAAATTGGCTTATCGACTTTAGTAACCGTAACGAGTTACCGACTCCTTTGTTATCGAGTTTGTTACGATAACGAGTTACGGAACTGCGCCGCCGGGTCATTTTTCATAGTGAACACCATATAATTCACTTATACATGACCCTCTCTCTCCGTTTGGCCCCCCGGCGACGCAGTTATCCTCGCACAGTCGTGGTTTATTAGGGCCACCCACGTGCATACACTGAGGCGTGTGCCAGGCCAATATATGTCTAATTTAATGAGTTCTTGTGATCTTCCTTCATAATTTTCGGTGCGACGAATCCTCGAAGCGCGCGATAAATTTTTCCGTTAATTTTTCCCAAATATTTGAGGTATTTAATTCGAGGCATTAGTCCTACAAATTTGACTTTGCCGCCATTCGAAAGCCGGGGAAATTTCCGTTGAAATGAAAAAAAAAATTATCCGCTTTGAACGATTAGTTCCAGAGATATCCGCAAAAGAGTTTTCAAGGTCACAATTAAAATCAAGTCTACCAGAGGCCATGACTACCTAAAGTTTTTCAGCCATCATGACTCTACTTAATGTAAACTATCAATTATGCTCATTCCCTTTCTTTTATCTTTCAGTCTCGGGAATAATTGGTAGAATTGATGGTAGGTTTACTGGTAGATTCAACTGATAGACCTGATTGGTAGACTTGACTAGTCGATTTTATTGGTAGATTTGAATGATAGAATTCCCGTTACCTCTAGCAATCATGTCCATCCCAATTTTTCTCAAGAATGGACATAATTGGTAGACTTGACGGTCGGTAGACTTGATGCCTGGTAGACGTCTTTACATGTAAATTAGTTAACGTGTGGACCATAACAGTTACATCATCCCTGCATAGAGATATTCCGACTCCACCGGAGTCTTTCCCATATAAATCGGTAGACATTCCATCCGGTAGACTTATCATCCAAAATTTGACCTTGAAAACATTTTCGCTGATATCTCGACTACTAATACCACAAAAAGATACTTTTTTTTTTCAATCTCGATGGAAATTTCCCTGGCTATCCATTAAACTCACATACAATCCCGTCACATCAACATCTCACATCATATAATCAAAATCACTTCAGAAACCTGCTGCAGTAGGGAGATTTTAGATTAAATTCCACCGACTCTTGAATATTTTCACATCTCTAAGACTCATAACACCCGTAAGATCTACTTCCAAGTTCTTGCGGTCTGATGCACACGTTGACGTTACGACTATACGACTTTGGGAAATACACAGAGAGGTGCTCACACAGTTGGTACCCTCCAGGGAATTGATGACCGACGTAAATCCCTGAACACCCACTGGGGAGAAGTACTAGAGGGAATGGAGGGGCGGGGGGGCAAATGTTTCTTCTCCAAGTTGTAAAGTGGGTATCTCAGGAAGTGAAACTGTGAGTTGAAGAGAGACGAATGAAAGAGCAATCTCGGGAAATACAAACGTTCTATAACTTCGGCTAATTTAACTCGAAGTAATGACAAATATTGGGGGCCATTACTCAGGTGAGAAATTGGGGGTAAATGACGGGGGGGGAGGGGGGTTACTAATGATCCCATTGCATAGGTCGGCCAATTCAGAATTGAATTGAAGATAAGACAATCCGTCTTGCCCCGTGACTTCCAAAAAATTGAAGGCATTTTTGACTTTTTCAATTTCAAGGTCAAATACATTTTTCGGATATCCCGGTAAATATTGGAGCGAATGAAATTGTCATACTGAGTTTTCAACCGGAAATTTCCCTGGCTATGCGATGGGATTGGCTTCATGGACTTCCCGCCAAAATTCAAATTTCGAAATTTTGAAAATCCGGTGCAAGCGGGGGAATTCAGTGTTGCAATAAATTTTCGTTCGTGTCGATGATACTGATGACAGATAGTACACACAGAACACTTTTTACGACTTCTCCCTCTATGGAAGAAGCTCTTCATCCCCCGAGATTCGTGTTTACACCATCGGTTCAGGGCTCGTAAATAATTCCGACTCAATGTTGCATCACACAACTTGATAAGGGTTGTAAAAAAAAAGGTGGAATGTAGAGAATATTTGGAGGATGAAAAAAAAATTCGTAAAACAACGCGATTACAACGAGAATGGGAATGATAAAAGTTCTGGAGAATTGTGAGAGCTGAATTCTGTAAAAAAATTTGCAGATCTCTCCTCTTTGAAATGAAACGTGGAAAAAAAATGGAGACGAGGGATGAGGGGGAGTACGTCTTTTTTTGTACATTTTTTTCATTCTTAAAGAGGAATACCCATTCGCCCGGAGGCAGACACCAAGAGAGCGAGAATGGACGAGAAAAACCCTCTTAAACGTTTATTCCTCGTTTTCTTTTTCTCTTCAGCTCTCATACCCCCTCCCACCCACTCGCGCATTTTTCTTGCACTGATGTGTCTCTTACTATTTCTCATGTCCACCACTCTGCGAAATGGAACTTCAGGAGGTCTTTCCTGTGCTCGAGAATTTTCATTTCGTTTTTGTAAAGAAATCGCACTATTCCGCCCCATCAGAATCACAACGAGTATCCAGATTCCTTCATTATCCCTGAAGATATTCACGTGGACTTTGTAATTCCTCGACATTTCTACCTTCGCAGAGATTAATTCTTCTGGAGCCCATTTCATACTATCGGTTACAGTAAAAATTACGATCGTTGAGATATGAACATTTTCCTGTGTGCCGACATGCCGGCAAAATCATTACCTCCTTTATCGAATCATATTCTAAACTATAATAATGTCCACCATGAATTCACTCTATCGATCACGTTATTGAATCGAAGTGTGGGGCAATACACGAGGAAGATTAAATCTGTTCGTCATTAAACCATCCCAGTGCCCTATGAAAACTCAAGTACGATGTTAAAACGGAAGGAGAGAAATTCATCATCGGTATAATTCAGTTGAAAAACAAATTTTTGTCGTCCTCCGCTAGTCCGAGACAATTGTCTCCATGTACCTGATAACTATGATTATGATCACTGCACTTGGTGGCAAACCGAGCCCTCAATATCTCTTCCCCAGAAGTTTCGTCAGACTGGAGAAATCTCGAGATATCTCGGGGAATCCCAGGCAAACCCAATGAATAACGAGTAAAGTTTACAAATACTGGAGACAAAATGGCAACCGGAAATTACTCAAACTTTCATCTATCATCCTCAATATCTTCCAACGACAAACGGATAGATATCGTTAAATAAAATTCCACTTCACAATCTGCATTGAGGAGAATTACCCCTCGAGAGAATTTTCAAGACGAATAAAAATAGTCTATTAATCCACATTTGCCAGATACACGGGAAATTCGATGATTTACGGGGGCGG